TTCAAGTCTCTGTTACAGTCAGACCTAATCCTGACAAGGAGGCTTTGAGCATATTCTAAGAAAAAGGCAAAGAACCTCATGAAATATTTTAAAGGATATTTCAAAATTCATGACAAACTTACCCCCAAAAGAAATTTATTAATAGTCATAAACCAGACATGGCGGTACATGCCTGTAATTCCAGTGCTAGGGAGACTGAGGCAGGAGGATTGCCGCAGAAAGATCACTATGAGTTTGAGGCCAGCCTGGACTACATAGTGAGACTCTACCTCAACTCTCCCAAAAAAGAAAAAAAAAAAAGAAAAAAAAGTAATGTGAGGACGATGTACAAACTACTTTCAAGCACAGAATTAAATTCACAGCATTAAACTCAGCTCAAACTGGCACTCTGTGTGAAGGCATTGGGTTCAATGCCAAGTGCCACCAAAAAAAAAAAAAAAAAAAAAAAAAAGCATCATGATCTGCTAAATGTTTTTCTAGGGAAAACAAAGGCAAGAATAGATATTCAGTAATTGCCATCACACTTCCTGATAAGAGACGCAATGAATAGACCATAGCCAAGCTTCACACCGGGGACAGTCAAGACTTCACAGCTCAGGAGCAAAGTGGAGCTGCACCAGGAAGCAGGATACCAAAGTAAAGGACATCTGGGGACCCTTGCCCTCTCTTAGGACTAGTTTCTGTTTCAGGAGGGAGAGAAGAGCAGTGGTCATCCTGTCACTCTGCCTATCAGGCCAACAACACTCTACCGTGTCCAGCTGAGTCACAGAAGAACTGAGAAAGCTGTTCAAGACCAAATCTCACAGCAGTTTATCCCGCCTGAAAAATGCTCTGCTCTGGGAAGGTACTCTTCCTGCTGAGTGAGGGATGCCTCCATTTATTTCCTGGTGGGACAGAGTCCCCATCCCTTCACTCTCTGTATAGTAACCATCATTGCCCCCAAGGGTCAGTTTGGCTTGTAAACATATTATAGGTATAAAGTATTTCTAAAACATGAATATGAAAAAAGAGGCCAAAATGAAATACAGAAAAACTTTACAAAGTGTTACCTTACTTTTATACTTACTTCCTTTAAAAGGTCTCATTTCACAAAATCTTACACTGTAAGTATCAAGGTGTTTCCCAGTTACTGAATAGAAAAATGCGTGCACGGCTATACCACCCTGAACGCGCCCAATCTCGTCTGAATAGAAAAATGCAACAGTCCTCCTTGGCTCTAACCATCATCTACAACCTCAAGTGAAAGCACTCTCAGTGTATTTATGGCAGAAAAAGAAATCATCTGCTTTATTAAGCCTCAGCAAAATATTCCAAAACATAATAGGTAAGCAGAATGATGGCTTCCAAACATGTCCACATCTTTAGTCCTGGGAACCTGTGATTATGTTATTTGCAAAGCGACTTAGTGGGAGTGATTAAATTATCCTGGATTATTCAAACAGGTCTGATCCAATCTCACAGGTCCTTAAGAGCAGATCACTTTCCCCAGCTGTGGTCAGAGAAGTGAGGGTAGAAGAACAATCAGAGACAAGCATCCTTGCGGCTTTGAAGATGGAGGAAGGAAGTCATAAACCAAGGAAAGTGGCAGCCTCTGGAAAATGAAAGGAGCAAGGAAATGAATTCTCCCCGCAAGAAACCTCCAGAAAGAAACACAACCTTGCTGATGTGATGATTTTAGCATTTCGGACTTCCAAAGGACAATAAAATAATCTGTGCTGTTTTGAGCACCTACATCTGTGTTAATGTATTAGGGCAGTCATGGAAAATTAGTATACACACACACAAAGGACTTCTAACGGTATATGAAATTATCTAGAGAAAAGCACAATAAAAATGCCCAAATGTTTAGAGCACTATAAGAATTATTTGTGCAGCATATTTTGCTTCTATTTTTCTCCTGCCCTTGCAAAACTCCATTAAAAAACCAGTTAACATTGAAAATTTTTCAAATTTTTTTGCATGGAATGTAGCATATTAATCAGAAAAAATGAATAGCATATTAGGATCTGCTGGGAAAGTGAAGAGACATGCTGTATTTTTCAGAGTCAAAGATGTATCAAACGGATACTACATTTAAAAAAAAATCTGGACTGGGGATATAGCTCAGTGGCATAAGCGCCTGCCTAGCAAGCGCAAGGTCCTGAGTTCAATTCCCAGTACGAAAAAAAATTCTAAAAAATTTTTAAAACAATAAAAAATAAATCCTAGCCAGGCATGGTGGTGCACACTTGCAGTTCCAGCACTCAGAAGGCTGAGGCAGGAGGATTGCCACAAGTTCAAGGTCAGCCTGGGCTACACAGTGAGACCCTGTTTCAAAAAAAAAATTCTTCTATATATTTATAATATAAAGACCTTACTATTACAGTCCTAAGTGTGACAATGGTATTGTGAGCATATTAAAAGACAATGGGGGTGCTGGGGATTTAGCTCAGCGGCAAAAGCGCCTGCCTGGCAAGCGCAAGGTCGTGAGTTCGGTTCCTGGTACCGGAGAAAAACCAAAAAAAAAAAAAAAAAAAAAGACAGTGGGGCCTGGTGTGGTGGCGCATGCCTGTAATCCCAGCACTCAGGAGGCTGAGGCAAGAGAATCGTGAGCTTGAGATCAGCCTGGGCTACAAAGTGAGCTGAAGGCCAGCCTGAACTGCAAAGTGAGATCCTGTCTCAAAAAGACAAAAAATAAAAAAATTTTTAAAAAAAAAGACAGTGATCAATCTCCTATAAATATATACTGAAAAATGTACAGGTGAAACAGTATGCAAACGGTTTGCTTCAAAACAACTGGAAGCCAGGCACGGTAGCACATGTCTGTAACGCCAGAACTCTGGGAGGCTGGGGCACAGCATCACAAGTCTGAGTTCACCCTGGACAGTTTAGAGATACCCTGCCTCAAAAATAAAAAATGAAAAAAGAATAGGGAATTTAGCTCAGTGCAAAGGCTCTGCATTCAATGCCCAGTACAAAAAAGGGGAGAAGAATGTGGTTTTAGGAACAAATAGGGACATAGATGAAACTGAATTGTTATGACTTAATCACTGTTGAAGCTAGGTAATATGTACAAGGGACTGCATTATTTAACTGTGGTTGTTTTAAACTGCTGGGCATTGAACCCAGGGCCTCATACACTCTAGTCAAGTATTCTGTTACTTAGCTACACTCCCCCTTGATCTCTTCTATATTTAAAAGGCACAAAAATTTAAAAGTAACTTGACCTATGACAATATAGGCCTCCCTACATACATGTTATTACAGCATGAACTTAATAGCTAATTTCCTTTCTATTAACATTGCACTACCTCCACTATCTGGTTTAATACTTAGAACTGATAATTTCATCAATTACTCTTGAATCTCAACTCATTTTACCTTGTTACCAACCTTACAAGCTCAACCAAGTCCCCTAACCTCTAACAGAATGGTTCTTCATCTGCAGTATAGGAATAGTCATATTTTTTTTAGTACATGTTTGTAGTATACAATGTTTACATTCATCTTAGGAGGTAGATACATGTACTTAGCATCTTAATTCTTTTTATTACCCTCCCTCACCCCACTCCGTCTCTAGATTCCCTTCCTATTTGCAAAAGACCTATCTCCCTGTTTCCTAATGTCTACCCTTTATTTCATTGTTTAAATTATTTATACTTTGGGTTTCTCATATCAGAGAAGTTATGTAATATTTAAGTTTGTGTGTGTGCTATATTTCACTTAATATTATGTTCTCACAGTGCACCCATTTTTCTACAAATTACTCAAATTTATCCTTCTTTATGGCAGACTAGTACTCCATTTTGCATAAATATCACATTATCTTTATCCATTCATCTGTTGATGAATACATAGGCTGCTTCCAAGATTAGCTCTTATGAGGAATATCCATACTTGCCTAGCCTATCTCTGAGTTGCCAAGATTATCTAAGATTAAAATCCCTGGGCCAGGGATATAATTCAGTGGCACAGCGTCTGCCTGGCAAGCCCTAGGTCCTGAGTTCAATTCTCAGTACCAAAAAAATAAAAATAAAAATAAAAATAAAAATAAACCCCAAAGCACGATAACCATTCTAGAAAACCACAGGGTCAAAAAAATCTATCCTCTGCAGCAACCATTCACCTGTTTCTATAGATTTTCTTCCCTCACCTCCAGAGCCTCTGTTGAGCCCCCAGCTCATCATCTCAAGCACCTGGGTTCCTTCCTCAAGTTTACAGCCCTCTCCACCACCTCCCCCTCTTCACAGATTCCAGCCCTGCGCCTTCTACCCACAGGATCCTACAAGCGAAGCTCCCTCTTTCAAGAATCCCACTCGATCGACCCACAGTCTTTTCCTTACATCTCTGCTGGTCATTTCCTCACTTCTCTAACCCTTCTCAGTACTTGATCAGTTTTATCACCCCATTACCCTCACACCCCAGCACTACCACTAGTGCACAAACACCCATCCTTCGGTTCAATCCCACTGCTCAGGCATCGTAGTAGTTGCAGGGTGTGCAGGAGGGGGAACGGGGAGTGACGGCTGAAGGGTGCGGGCTACTTAAGGGGTGATAAAAATATTCTGGAATTAGTGATAAGGCGGCACGACCATGTGAAGACACTAAAAGCCACTGCACTGTACTTTAACTGTACTTTTTAAAGGGTGAATTTTATGGCATGTGAATTATATCTCAGTTAAAAAAAGCGTATGTCAAACAAACGCGAACACACGCACTATTGCTCATCCTGCCCATCACACGCCCATGTGTCAGACCCACACCGCTCCATCTGCGGAAGCCTCGACGTGTCGGGCGGTATCCCCCAGCTCCCAGCCCGGGCCGCCGAGGTCCCCCTCTCCGCTCACGCCCGGGTCTAACACACCCCCAGGCCGCCTGGGCGAGGCGCCGGGTCGCTCCCGCGGCTCAGCGCAGCCCCGCGGGTGGCCCGGTTCCGGCCGCGGAAGGCTCCCTCCTCCCCTCGCAGACCGAGCAGCCCAGCCCTCCGGCGCCGGCCGGGGAGAGCAGCGTCCTGAGCCCACCTGTCTCCGCCGGCCGGAGCTCCGCGTCCCCCCACGCACGGCAGGCGGGCGGCGGGCAGGCGCGTCAGGGAAGCCGGGTGGCGCAAGCCGGCTCAGGCCTCCATGTTTCCACGTCTCCGCGGCTCGGGCTCCGGCTCCGCTCCAGCGCCAGCAGAGTCGGTGCGGAGGCCGAGAGGCGGAGAAAGCAGAGGGAAGCGGCCGAGAACGCGGATGGAGCCCGAACGGCCAGGCGCGCGCCAGCGGGCGGTCCCAGGGCGCTCTCGGCGCGCGGGCTTCTGGGAAATGGAGTCCTCACCGCGGCGCTGGTTTCCACGCCCACCCAGCGTCTCCCGGACAACCGCGGAGCCACGTGGCAAAGTCCGGAAGCCTCAAAATTCTAGCCTCCCCGTGCTTCCTAGAGCGGCTTACCTGCCCCACCTATTCGGCTGCGTTACCTTAAGGCCCCTGTTAGTTCCAGATGAATAACCCATCCCAATGTCAAGCAATTCCTTGTTGCGAGACTCTGAAGATTTGAGAAGTAGGCCGGGTGCAGTAGTGTCAGCCTGTAATCCTAGCATTCTGGAAGGCTTAGGCCGGAGGACCGTAACTGCAAGACCAGCCTGGGCAATTTCACACAGACCTGACTCAAAACTAAGAATGATGATGACGGTGACAGTGATGATAAAGGGCTGGAAAAGTCGCTCAGTGCGAAGATCCCTGAGTTCAGTCCTTTCTATTGTCAAAATAGGATCTTGCTGAATTGCCTAGCCTGGCCTGGAATTTGCCTCCTGCCTCAGCCTCTCAGAGTGCTGCAATTGCAGGTATTCGCCACCACCCCCAGGTAGATTTTTTTTTTTTCTTTTCTCAGCACAGTACTGGGGATTGAACCTAGGCCCTTTGCACCGAGCTATACCCTCAGCTCTTTTATCCACTTTCTTTTCTTCTTGACTTATTTCTTTTTTTCGCTGTTTTTGCAACTTCTTCATGCTGAACTTTTTTTTATTATTTTGATACAGGGTCCAACCAAGTCGCTGAATTGCCCAAGCTGGGTTCCAGTTAATGCCCTCTAGCCTCAGCATCCTGGCATTACAGGCATGTTGCCCCCGCGCCCATTAGGGCAGTAATTTCTGATGGAAGCACCAGGAAAGTCTACACCTTCCCGCATCATCGTCAGGACACGTCCCGCAGGAAGGAAAATCAGTATGAGATTTAAAGTCCCATGTGCTGAGGTTACCAGAATGATGTCCTTGAGCAATTATATTACCTCCCCCGGACAGTTTCCTCACCTAGATTTTATATTTATATATAGTAATAATCATTCATATTGTGAATTGTTTTCTACCTGCTGTGCACTGTTTTATTTCTTCAAATAAACCTATGAAAAGCTATCACAATTATTTCTACAATACAATCAATATGTGCTGATGTCCTCCCAAAGTGCAATATAGACACTAAATGAATGTCTTTCCAGTATCAATTACCAGTGTATTTACTGAGCTTGCAGAATTAGGGCAGGAAAACTTTGTAAAATGCAAGGTACCTGGGGACCTAGCTAAAAAGAAGGAGGCACTACTATGCAGCCATTGTAAGGAATGCTATGGATTCATATTTATTTAAAAGATGTGTCCATGCCCCATGTTGAATGTGATGATTATGCATGGCAAATATGTATTAATAAAAATAAATAAAATGTTCCATGAAAATTAAGTGGAAAGGCTATGAATAGGTGGGTGTGGTGTGGTGGTGAATGCCTGTACCCTCAGCACTTGGGAGGGTGAAGCAAGAGTGAGGCCAGCCTGGGCTACGTAATGAGACCCTGTCTCAAAAAAAAAAAAGAGTATGAATAGTATTATCCAATTTTTATAAATTAATTATATGTATAATACTTATGTGTATGTGCCTAGGAGAAAAAGAAGTTAAAAGAGTATTAACAATATATAACTTAAGGTAAAGAGATAGTATGTGGTTAAAATAATTTTCCTATTTTCTACTTCTGCAATGAATATTAATCTCATGTATAATTTTATTTTAAAGTCATAGCAAAAAGAGGAGCAGGCATCAAATATAAACCCTGAATGGTTCTGTGATTTTGCCCGACACTTACTCTACTTTCCTTAAATTACCAGAGCAATAGTTATGAGCTTTTCTTCAGAACTGGCATTGTTTGTTGGGCATAGTGGTGCCCGCCTATAATCCCAGCACTTGAGAGGCCGAGGCAGGAGGATTGCCAAATGTTCAAGCTCAGCCTTGGCTGCATAGTGAGAGCTTGTCTCAAAAAACCAAAACAAACAAAACACTGGTATTGTAAATCAAGAAGCAACATAGTCTATGTTAAAGTGATCCTATTAGTGAAATGTTACACCCCTTTCTTTTGTAGTTTCCCATAGTGTATTAGCATTCTTTGTTTTTTCTTTTGTTTTGGTTTTTTGTTTGAGACAGAATCTCGCTATGTAGTTCAGGCTGGCCTCAAACTCAAGGCAATCCTCCTGCCTCAGCCTCCTGAGTGCTGGGATTACAAGCATGTGCCACCATGCCAGGCTAAGTGTTAGCTTTCTGATGCTGGGACAAAATACCTGAGCTAAACATCTTGGAGAAAGGAGAAAAGATGTATTTTTGGTCATGGTTTCAGAGGTTTTACTCCAGGGCCCCATGGCTTTGGGGTTGTGATGACACACAATAGTATGAGGGACACACGATAGTATGAGGGACACATGGCAGAGGAGGCTGCTCACCTGATGGCAGGAAGGAAGCAAAGAGAAAGAGGAACAGGCTGGGTTCCCAATATCCCCTGTGAGGACACGCCCTCAGTGACCTCACTTCCTTCCACTGGTCCCAGCTCCAAAAACTTATTCCACCTCCCAGTAGCACTGTGGGCTGGGAACCAGGCCTTTAACATAGGGCCTTTGGGTGGCACTTAAGAGCCAAACCACAATAGATGGGCTGAAATTAAGAGGGTCTTGCTATTGTTCCTGGGCAACTCTCACAGTGTTGTTAGAGAAATGTCACAAAGCAGAGGGTCAGATGAAGAATGGTTTTAACGACATAGGAAGGCTATGTTGGAAAGCTCAGGTAACTTAGTGGGGCTTTTTGTGTGTGTGTTTGGTTTGGTTTGGTTTGGTTTTTTTTTGAGATAGGGTCTCACCGTGTAGCCTAGGCTGGCTTCAAACTCATGGTGATCCTCCTGCCTCAGCTTCCTGAGTGCTGGGATCACAGGGGAGTGTCACCATCCCAGGTTTATCCTTATACTTCTACAGGCAACATTAAAAGGTGGTGTCAAAACACTAAGTTAGAGCCAGGCCTGGTGGCACAGACCTATAACCCCAGCACTCAGGAGACTGAGGTGGGAGGATCAGTCCAAAGCCAGCCTGGGCTACACAGTGAGTTCAAGGCCAGCCTGGGCTAGTACAGTTAGAACCAAAGGTGCTCAGTCACACTCCCTTCATTCAACTTTAAATGCCACACCACCTTAATGATTATCCAGGCTTAAATTTAGGAGGTCGCCCAGATTGCTGGCATCAGAGAGAGAGACAGGGGGAAGCACCCTGGGTCAGTGGCATCTTACCGGAAGCCTGAGTTATCAAGGCCCTTTTTTCCCTTCTCCATTTTTTCCCTTGCCCCTTTCTTCCTTTGCCATTTTTCTCCCTCCCTCACTTTTTTGCTTTTTTTTGTGTGTGTGGTATTGGGGATTGAACTCAGGACCTTGTGCTTGCCAGGCAGGCGCTTGTGCCACTGAGCTATATCCCCAGTGTGTCCCTCCCCCTCTTTGCTCTTCTGCCTATTCTTGCTGCTGTCCTGTGTTCTTCAATAAACCCACCACATACTCAGGGGTGCACGCTTGGCAATGCTTTCCTTGTCCTACACAAGAACCTGGAATATTTTTGGCCCACTGAACTGTAACAGAACTACACTGTGAGAGGCTGTCTCAAAAATAAAGAAGTGTCACAATACCTTTGCCTGACTTGACTATATCTGTCTAGTAGTGCAGAAACACCAAAGCTGTGAAAAGCCTTTTGCTAAAGCTGTGAAAGCCTTTTGCTAAATGCAGTGAGGTATCACAGATGGATCTGGAAATCACAAAAAAGCAGTAGTGGAAAGACTGATGAAATCCAAATGAAGTCTGGAGGTAAGCCAAGGGCGCTGTACCAGTGTACCAGTGTCAGTTTTCTCATTTTGGTAAATACACCTTTGTTATGTAGAACGTTCACATCAAAGGAAGTTGGGGGAAGGATATTATATATGGTAACCCCGTGCACCTCTTTTATATCTAAAATTGTTCCATATCGTGGGTGGATTAATGCCCTCCCAAGATATCCACCTCCTAATCCCCAGAACCTTTGAATATGTTAGGATATGTGGCAGAGGGAAATTAACACTGCAGAGGCATTCAGGTTGCTCATCAGTTGAATTTAAAATAGGGAAATTATCCTAGGTCACTCGACTGGTCACATGTAGTCAAGAGTGGAAGCAAGGACCGGAAGTCAGAGGGAGGTGGCTACACAAGGTCAGAGTGATGCAACATAAGCACCAGGCACTGCTCACTTGGAAGGTGGCAAGAGCCTAGGGAGACGGGCAGCCGGCTCCAGGAGACAAGGAAACACCATTCCCTCCTGCCGTGAGGAACTCTCCAGCCTCACCAGGGCTATGACATTAGCCCAAGGAGACCAGGTCCAACTGCAGACCTAAAGAACCATAATATCTTTGTGCCATTATAATCCTCTAAGTTTCTGGCAATGTGCTATAACAGCCACAGAAAAATGTACTTGAAAACTAACAGTTTAACTGAAAAGAAAACTTCTAAATGACCGCCTTATCTTCCCAACACATTTCCTATCTGGCACTAGACAATTATTCATGCTACTTAGAAAACAAGACACACCTCAAAAATATTCTACTTCACTTTGATTTGTTTTTTTTCTGTTTTGTATTGTTTGTTTTTTTCCAGTACCGGGAATCAAACTCACGACGTTGCACTTGCCAGGCAGGCCCTGTGCCGCTGAGCTAAATCCCTAGCCCCTTCATTTTGGATTTTTTTTTTTTTTTTTTGGTCTTTTTTGAGGCAGTTTCACTGTGCAGTTCAGGCTGGCCTTGAACTCACTTTGTAACCCAGGCTGGCCTGGAACTCTCAGGGATCCTCCTGCCTCAACTTCCCTCTATTTTACTTGGGAAGGCATGAAATTTTTATTTTTATAGAAGCAGTTTTATGATATTTCCAGCCATTTTGGTTAGATTATCATTCAGGTGAACAAGAAATAATGTTGATTCACACGGGAAAGCCAGTGAAGCAGTGAAGTATC